TTTTCAGCTGACTTGGCCAATAAAAGCTCTGTCTGGGGGCCGTTCAGTCTCTGGCTCGGCAGAGAGAATCTGGGTTCAGGCGCTGACTTCTTATGTTGCTATGAAGGACCAAACATTGACCACAAGCGGGAGTCCCCTGGGCCCTTCGCTGGTCATGCCTGTCCTGGGGAGGGCCGCAGGGGTGCCTGTGACGTGTGGGCCACTTGGCCTCCAGATGATCCCGCTTGATACAAATGGTTAACAAACGCGTTGTCAGCACATATAAAACTACCACTTTAGAGCTCGACATAGTCACATGTGACAGAAACTGGTGTCTGAGGGGCTTCCTCTTCAGTCAATGGCTTCACTTTGTGCAGGAAAAACTAGAGAGACCAGGGGCATGTGGGACCCTGTGGGTGAGGCCAGGGACCCTCCAGCTGTGCCCTAGTGGGGACCTCACATGCTCTGGAATGCTGTCATCCCCAGTACCAGAGTGAGGCTGCCTGGGCCGTCTGTGTGTTTCCTGCGTAGCTGAAACAACGGTCATGAGTTCTCCCGTAGTCTGGAGGCCAGAAGTCCAAAATCGGGGTGCCAGCAGTCCCGGCTCCTCTGGAGTCTCAGAGGGGGAGTCCACGCTGCACCTGGCCCCAGCCCCAGCCGCTGGCGGCTCGTGGCATCGTCGCCGTTTCTCGCAGACGCGTCATTCCAATCTCGGCCTCCGTCCTCAGGGGCCTCTCTCTCGTGTCCGTGTGTCTTTGCGTCCACGCTTCCTCTCGTATGGACTCCGGTCATCGGGTCAGGGCCTGCCCTAATCCAGGGCGACGTCACTCTGACTTGTGCCTCTTCCAGATAAAGTCGCATTCGCACGAACAGCGTTGCGGGCCCAAACGTAACTCTTCTGGGCAGACGCACGATCCTCTCCGCTACATCATCCTGTCATGTTTCGCCCAACACGGGTACCTTCCAAGTTCACGTTTCTCTCCGTGAAAATCTTAACATCATGGGGAACAAAAGGGGATCAGACCCAGTCGACACTTTGAAAACACGGAGGCACCTTCGGATGCCCCAAATTCTGAGACCGTCCTGGTGATGAGGACGCCTCCTGGGGACTTGGGTGTGCGGATTCTACGGCCCTTCCGCCTGTCCCCGCAGAATCGACATGTTGGTGAGAACTTTACTCTCGTGTCCATTTGTGTTAGGTCGGTTAAATCAGATGACTTCTGAGCCAGAGCCTCGTGTGAGCGCGGGCAAGCGAGGGGCCGTGCCTCAGGCCCCGTCAAGGGGGCCCACAGCACACAGCCTGTCTTCAGCCTGTCTGCTGGCAGGATGACGGAAGCAAAGTGCAGATGTTTCCCTTACATGCTAAATTAGTTCATAAATCATACCCGTGAATGAGCTCTGGCTACAGCGTCAAGACGTCTGTTAGCAAGAGGACTGGATGGCTTTCGGGGCCGAGGTGGCCTCCGATCAGGCCTCGCACAGTGGTCCTGGCTGCTGGACAGGCCTGAGAGGTTCAGGCAGGGCCTCCGGCAGCTGGCAGACATCCACTCAGGCCAGCGAGGCCGGGACAGCCAGCTCCTGACGCTCGGGACCATTACAATGAGGGCCAGAGGGCCAGCTAATGAATTCTGAGCAGTCTTTAAGGCTCAGGGGCAGTGACACACTTGTGCCTGCACATGCGTGTGGGTGGGAAGTGGGCTCCCGTGCCCAGATGAGGGCATTTTTATGCACAGTTGGGATTGCGGAGAGGCCAGGTGGTGGCATTACAAAGGCCCTGCCTCCAGCCCCGGCCTGTCTCCAGCGACTTGAATTCCCAAAGCTAATTAATGCATGTCTCTCTCCTCGCCCGGGAGCCACCAAGGCCACCTTTGTGCAGCTCTAGCAGTGACACAAACTCTCTCAGCAAACCCTTCTTGATAAGCCACTCGGTGCCAGGCACAGACCCTGGTCTCCCCCAAGTCGTCGGGCAAACACACAGGTAATGAGGCAGTGACCTGGGGATGTGCTAAGTGACATGAAAGGCGTTCTGGGTTGCCATGGAAACCCACAGGCTTGGGCTTGTGCTTCCCTTGGGACATCACACTAAGTTGGGTTGAGTGGAGACAACGCAGGTGAATGGGGTGCCTGAAGGGAGAGCAGGGCGTTATGAGTGAAGACGAGCAAGCGCGGGGGCGCGTGCGTCTCGGGGGGCGCGTGCGTCTCGG